TGAGTTTATAATAAAAAAAAACATGATTTCTAATAAATACCACGAAAAATAAAGTAATTATCATTACTGTATTGTACGAGAATATAAAAACACATCCTTGTAGACTCCAGGAAAGTTGTGGATTAAAGTGCCGAAAGAAATTAACCTACGCAACTTTATAACACTTATTTATATGTTGTATCAGTTTTATGTTTATTACTACATTGTAATACTAAATGCACTGTACTTACATAGATGCCTTGTCGTTTCTCTGCTCCGCAGAGCAGAAATCGGGGTTTAGTGCAACAAATTCACCAACCATCAATGCGTCAATTCTTGGCAGATTTGTGCTTTCTGCTTTCACAAAGCCGGCATCCATAATTTGTTTAGTCAAAAAAAACTAAGTTTACTGTTTTTTTCTTTCCTAAAGTTAAAAGTGTTTTAAGATAAATTTAGTCAGACGAAAGAATCCACCTACAGTAACACGCGAATGACATTTAGTTGTTTACCATAAGAGACGTCAAAATCATGGCGAATGTGGCGAACAGCGTTTTTAGTGTTTAAAAAATATAGACTAAAAAATATTTTTTTAAATTAAATTTCTACAGCAATCTTCTGCTTTTATGAAGTGAAATCGATATATTAAGGTTCCTTAGACTAAACACTTTAAGAAATAAACATTTATTTAATACAATTCGACATGAGTAAACTAGCCTATTACGGCTACAGGTAGACGCTTGAAATATTCCCAGAGTATTATTCGTATATTCATTTATAAAATAAATAATGAAAATAAAATAACTTAAGGGGCGCTTCCAACAACAGAAGTGATTTTTTTGCCGGTTTTGGCTCGATATTAGTTGTTGTATAGGTAGTACGGAACACGGAACCTATCACGCGCGAGTCCGACTCGCACTTTGCTGGTTTTTTTGTGTTGTTATTGTCAAGACAACAGGATAAGGTTTATATACAATGTAAGATTACAAAATGATCATAAAAATGAGCACACTGCAACTAGTCAATCTGAGATCAACCCTATTTTTTTAATCACCACTAGAATAGAGTACTACTTGAATGTTTCAATTATATACAGTGGGTACAGGCAAATTAAATGTAGGTAAATTAAGCATTGTTTTAATTTTTAAATTGCTGTTTGGGCTGCTGTTATTATGTAGAATGAAATAAAAAAGTATTGATGTATATTTTTTGATTATACATACTCTAATGTTAGTGATCATGAATATTTATAATAACAATTTAAGTATTCTGAATCACCACTAGAACAGAGCACCTGAATGTTTTAATTCTATGAAACGGTAGGTATGCGCTGTGCACATGTAGGTAGGTACATAGGTATTAAGGTGTAAGTTAGACAAATTCTTATAAAATTTTCAAAGCATACGGAGCTCTAAGTTGTTTAACTATAGTCTATTCAACTTTCTCGGAGACAAAAGATAAACAAACTACAGTTGCCACGAATATTCAGCCACATTTTTTGCTATTCGGTAATCGGTCAAGTAGTGGGCAATATTCGTCCGAATACCAAATAGCAAATCATGAAAATATTACTCACCAAGGTGTTTATTTCACCAACAAATTAACATATTCATATTTAAAATCTATCAGTGAGAAGTTATCATGAATAAAAAAAAATTTTGTTTCAGCATTAGTCGATAGCAAACGATTGCGTTTTTTCTCATAAATCATAGGTACCTGCTTCCGAAAACAGCCACTCACTATAAACACTGCGATCGCGAGATGATAAAAAATATACGTACAGTGTGATCAGCATGATGCACCAGCATTCAACAAATAAAGCGTGCCAAAATTTTAGCGATGTAAGTTTAAACTCGTAAGTGACGAGTTGTGATTGTGACTCGTCACCTGCGGAAAGTAGGTACCTACTAAGTATTGCCGATTTTTCGGCGTTTCGGCCAAGAACCTCGCCGAATATTCGGTATTCGGCCAAATAACTATTCATGGCATCAAACCATAAAAAGGTTTTTCAATAGGTCGAATTTTATACCAACGCATATAAAATCAAAATTAAAACAATGTGACACTAAAAAGACAGACTAAGAAAACTGGAGCTATTCCCAAACTTTGAACGCATAATAAAACTACCAAATTGAAGGGTGGTGATAAAATAAATAGGGTAGTGAGCCCAATAGCAATGAACACCTAAGCGAATTTCAGTTTACAAAAATTTATAAAAAAAAATACCTATCACAATATATTAATCAAAATGGATAGAGGATTCGTTTATGTATGTACTTACCTACCTTCAGTAATCTTTTGAATCACAAATAACTTTAAAAAATCGAATTACATCGGATAATGGGGGACGGAGCTAATTCTGAACACTTTTAACCCAATTCTGAACAAATTCGGCTCTATTTGTGAACTTAACAAATAAAAGGCATTTGTTACGAAATATGGCTTTATTCTTTTAATATTTAAAAAATACTTAACTTTCCTAATTTTCATTAATAATGATAAAAATGATAAAACTTATGTCGGAACGCCCGTTCATTAATAGAATTATAGTCGATATTTTGGACCAATAAATGACAAGTAAATTGTAAAATAACCGATGCAAAATTAGGTTATTTCTTTTAATTTCCTATTATAATAATAAACAAACTTTATGCAAAACTTCACTTCAAGTATTTAATGTTAAACACTAACCTTATATTAACTAACAACCTTACGAAAACGTATTACTGACCTTACCCCATGCTTACCCGTACGGTGTTCTCCATAAAATGGCGGGAAACGATGTTCACGTGCTTCACCTCGGAACGCCACAAGCGAAACTGATTATCTTGTGATTATACGATATCTGTCATCAACACATTAAGTGTAGCCGTTTCCGAAAAAAATACCCCTTTATTATAAGGACTCCGTAAGTCTTATAATGTAAGAAAGTATTAAATTCGTTCATCTACTGGGTACCGTTTATTAACTGGGCTCACTACCCTACCTAATTTACGTTGGAATGTAATTTTCGTTATCAGTCTGGTTACACCATCTTTACCATCTTTACTCTCGATAAAAGAGTTTTAGACACATTGGTTTATTTGTTTACCTTTTGTCTCAGAGAAAGTTAAATAGAATAGGTATATGTATTCTATTTTTTTATCATGTATTAACGTACCTAGCTGAACTAAAACCTATGCGATGTTATGTAAGTAGGTACATACCTACCTATTTTTAGATATATGATAGTAAGTATGTACGATCAATTATTGTAATATATTAAATTCTTTAATATAAAAAATCAATAAATTTTATAAAATAAAACAAAAAATCACGCTATGCTAAACTCAAGGATTCTAGTCTAGTCGCGCAAATGTAAACTTTTATAGCGCTCGTTTAAAGGAATACTGACCTATTGGAACTTGAACCATTAGGTGCAGCCCAAAGCTTCTAAGTATATAATTGTGAATGTTACCGGCATTCTGTAGGTATAATTCAGGTATTCTATACATTACAGAATACCTGGGGCTTCTAGACAATGTATTAATAGGTATTATGAATATTAATATTCATTATACTTATACCATACTTTGCCTAAAATAGGTAATGTACCTTTGGATTTATATAAATTTCTAGGGATTGCATGGAGTACCTGTTGTCCACCGGCAATGTGTAAAATAAACAGATTTTAATAAAAACTCATCCTAACCAAACCTAACCTATCCGACCCAGTTGGATATAAAATAACGGACGGATTTTATAATTGTCACCGAACGAGCAACAGACCAATGAACCTGTAACTAGTTTACAGTGGGTTAGATTGTTGACTAGTGTTGCGACCTGAAATAAGCGCGAGCAGAGCGAGCGTGCCGCGGCAGGCTGGCGAAGGTCCCAACCCAAATATCATATCTTAGACTATAAACACATGCAAGAAATTCTCATATTAAGTACCTATTAAATAAAATTGTACTAGAACAAAATCTTTGATTATATACACGCCTAGATAAGGCACGGACACGCCCAAAAAAATATCTAAGTTCTACATATGGTAGATATGCACTTCGCTACAAACGCATACATTGGTGTCGAATCCGGCACGATTCTAAATTAAACCTAAAATTAAATTTGCCAATAATATTGAATTGCTATAGCTTGGCATGTATACAGGGTTAATTTTAAACACCAACAACCTCTTAGGGGGTGATTCTACCCATCAACAGGAACAACTTTTATTATGGGACCAACGCTGAAATCATACAAAAGTGCGTCAACTAATCGAACAAAATGTATGAAACAGCTGATTATTTTTTCGCGATTTCAGAATTTGTCCCATAATAAAAGTTGTTCCTGTTAATGTGTAGAATAACCACCGAAGAGGTTGTTGGTGTTTTAAAATTAACCCTGTATAACCAAAGAACTAAATGTCTTTAATTAATAAAAAAAACCAATTTGTTAAGTAAGTGGGTTGTTTGAAATTCAGATATGTTAAATTAGAAATTTTAAGTAAAACAATTAAGGAATAAAAAGGTTATAAATGTTAAGTGGAATAAATAAGTATCAATTCAGTTTCATTGTTTTATTTTTAAACAACTTTTACCAACTGTTATTTTGTAAAAACCTTAGATTACAACAAAATGGAAGATACGGTACGCTTATCAATTAAAATATGATCCGACTCAACTACATTAGCAACTCTCACACACGCACGTCTGTCTGTCTGTACATAAACATTCAATCGAACGAGCGACACAGAACTCAACGCTTCAACCACAGAGTACATTGTTATATAAAGAAACAACGCAGCGAAACGGCGATCCGCATCATCCCCCTCTCGGGGGATGATCGCTTCAGATGAAGCTTGTAAGGCCCTTCTGGCTATAAGCATGATTGAAGGGTGTTTTTTAGTCAGTAAGAGTCTGACATAACCCTACAGCCGGCTGTAGGGTATCCATGAGGATTTCTCACCCTCTCCCACGCCTGGGAGGAAACAAAAAAAAAAAGAAAATACGAAACGGCGAGTCCGCTTCCGAGTCCGTAAGGCGGAGCTGTATTGTTGTCCTTTTCTTGATAACATAATGGCGATTACGTAAATAACATTCACGACGAACCGTAATTTTTGAGATTTTTTTTCTACAGTTTTACGGATGAAAGGTGTTGCCGAGGCATTTGTTATTTGATTTTGAACTATTTGTGTTCTTTATAAAAGCATCGAAGGCATTGCTTTATCTTTATAACACAGAACATACGCAATATTGTTATATAGTGCACATGCAGCGTATTTGAATGTCCAATTGTGACTAAAGCGAATTATGGTCATGCACCACATTTTAAGCGGATCACTTTTGAGCCGCGCGTAGGGATATTCGATATACATCGATGCATCGAAAACATCGATGTTTGCAATGAAAAACATCGAATCGATCCGATGTTTTGAAAAGCTTTCAATATACTCGATGCATCGATGTTTAAAAAAACATCGAATTGGTAATACAGTTTGACCACGTAGTGATAATATCCTCTTTTTGGTTTAACATCAGTAAAAAAAAACTTAAGTTTGACCACTAAAATTTTACTTACTGTTATGAAAGCATTCCGAATTCTCTGATATGGCTCCGATGTTGGCAGCACTGCGCAAGAGTCAGTGCAGTGACAATAAAAAATAACTACGAGTTTCTATGTTTATAAACATTTAATAACCTTTGATTTTGTGAAACAAACTAAGATTGAAGTATATTTCTAATATTCTATTGACAGAGAGCAAAAATTTTTTAAATTTAAGAAAAAGTACTCGATGTTTGAAATACATAGTTGCGATGTATCGAATCAAAAAATACATCGATGTTTTTGCAGAGTGGACACCCCTAGCCGCGAGTGCCGTAGGTATCTTCCCTTTTTGTTTTTAATCTAAGGTAAAAACCTATCATGTTCGAAACTTAAATGGTAAAAGCAAATTAAAATTGGTACCTTATTCTTTTCTTTTTTTTCGAACCAGTATCGAATAGTTTACCTAAATCTTGTTTAAAAATCATTACACCATACAAACTCATGTTAGGTATGTACAGATTTTCAATAAAACACCTGTAATGTTGTAATAATTTAATATAAATCAGTCATAATTGATTAAGTACCTATGGAATAAGTAGCCCCATGTGCGCCCGACACTTAATTTTACAGGTTTCATTATAATGTATTAACAGGACAAAAGGTTCTTTAAAATAACTATCTATATAAATACTTATTGTCTAACGTAAATCGGTAACTGCTTAAAGTTACTGTAAATTCATTAAAAAAAACCAGGTGAAATTGTTTTTACTTAAAAAAGCAAGAATTGACTTTCTGCCGATCACAGACAACTGAACCCTTAGCACGAACCAATATCAAATTGTTTGCGAGTCTGAAATTTCATTGTCAAATTTTGCATGGAAACTTGAACAGCAGCGCCACAACGCACTTACTTCTATCGAATTCGAATAATATAAATATGATATTGGTTCGTGCTAAGAGTACAGTACCCTTAGCAGACAATGACATTTCGCACTCGCAAACTATTCGAATTCGATATTAGTTCGTGCTAGGGGTACAGTACCTATATCACGAACTAATATCGAATTCGATCTCGATACGCGTTAAATTTCAAGAAGTTTTGTATGGAAGATTTTTAGTTCTCGTTACGTCCGCTGTGGCGCTGTTCAAATTTACATACAAAACTTCTTAAAATTTGACGAGTATCTAAATCGAATTCAACTATTCAATTTCGATACTGGTTCGTACTAAGGGTACACCTACATTTGCATACAAAACACCCATGATATGAATTCTATATAAAAGATTCTGAAAGTAGAACTTAAAATTCATGACAAATTTCGGTACTGTGTTTACAATGTTCTTTTTTCGAAATTCATAATACCACGCATCGAGCAGTGAAAATTGAGACTGTCTGATGAGTAAGCTCATGGCGCGAAAGGGATTTAAAAATCGAGTGTTATTATGAAAAAAAATTAAAAACGGTTGATATGTTTTTTTTTATTATGGCATTGGATATTTTAACTTTGGCAATAAGCTGTTTCAGAATCTTTAATAGAGGTTTTAAATCATGGGTAGATAAGGGGCATTATAATCGGCAAAATAATGGCACAGGTGATGAGCGGAGAAGCTACAGAAGAGCGGCACGAATTGTATAATTATGTATGTGCCCTAGACAAGTAAAATGTACGCCTCATGGATTGGATGGAATTTTAAATTCTCTCATACAACTATTTGCTGCATAAATTATTACCCAATAAAAAAGAAAATTCATAAACATCTTCAAAAATTAACATGAATGACAAATGAATGTTGTATTCTTTTTATTCATACATATATAAGTAATAGGGTATCAGCAGACGAATAAATGCTGTAGAATATACGTACATAGAAAGTAAATAATGAAGGGTTTGAAAAGCCAACCAACATCCTGTGTAATTGATTGTATGTACACTTTCATAGCCTTTATAAAATAAGCCTATATAGTCAAATCAAGGTTCATACCTTGATTTGACATTTTGCATGTTTTGTTTTATTAATCAGATGCAGTTAAATAATACCTTTTCATTTCATTTTACGTTCATTTAATGCTTCATGAAAATCTTGTCATTGAAAAATTCAACATTATGAATGTTATGTTATGTGCAATCTCGCTATTTTAGAACCCCAGGACTGAAAATGGACAGCATGCCAACGAATTACAAATGATATGGAATACGAACTGCTCTAAAAAGTGGTTCCACGCAAACTGCGATCAAGTGGGCGGGCGAAAAAAATGCCATGAACACACTGATTATGGGATTGGTCGGGGTTTCCTTTTAACATTACCTTACCCAATGAATGGATAGCCGAATTCATTTGCAGATATTTGATTTGTCAAATTATTTTGTTTTATATTTGTGCGTGTCGAGTTAGTATTAAAGTTTAATTGTATGAGTTTGAAACCATGTTTTAGCGGCGTTTGTTAGAGAATAATGCTTCCATACCATTTCTGATTCGTTGCAGCATACCCAAATTTATTTCGTCTGATTTAATCTTTTTTTCGATAATTTATAGTAAGGTTATTTACAGGTGTTCCTCTTCTTTCATAAATATATTTAGAGATACAGCCAAGTCTCAATCATAGTCACAACATATGTTTTATTACCTAGATTGAGACATGGGATAATTTTTATCCAGGAAAGCCCAGGAAAGGACGAAGTCCGTCTCGGGCGGCCGCTTGTATATTTATTTATATTTATTGTATAAAGGTAACCGTAATGGAATTTTTAATGTGTTCATATCATAGATATAGATAAATCAGACGAGGAATAAAGAATATGCTGTTGTTGGTGTCGATTCTAGTATGATTCTCTAAACTTAAAACTAATTTTTATCATCAGTCTCCCTTATTCATTTTGTATTGAGAATGACAACGATATATTGTTGTCAAATTTAAGTTTAGGTTTAGAGAATTATGCCGGGATCGACACCACTGAAAGTATATTATTAAATGAATTTTCTTTATCTCTCAATTTACTTTTTTTATGGTTCTTCAAAATGAACATTTTCCTATAAATCATAAAGTAAAGTAAAGATAGTGCAAGCTCAGAAATATAAAAAATATCCATTGATTACCATATTTACTAAGTTTCCGAAAACTTGTGCACAAATGAAACACTGGGAGACAAGATGCATCATTTGCTGGCGTAATAGTTTTACTTTCTCGTTAATAACTGTAAATAACTGTACTTTTGCTATTTAGAGTTAATATTAGTTCTAAGTCCTACCTACTAGAAAAACAAACATCATGTCCAAATGGAACGATATAGTTTTCATCTTTGACGTTTTTTTTATTGAGTGTGACCACTTATATTTTGACGAAACTTATGGTATATTTTATTAGAAAAATTCCTACTCGTCACCGGAGGGGACAAATCTAGGGGTGACGAACGGGAAAACCAAACAGTTCTGAGCTGCATTTAAACAAATTTTGTATTTTATTTTGTTCTTAAACTTCAGTTAAACGCCTGACTTTTTTGTAATAAGGCTATGAAAGTGTACATACAATCAATTACACAGGATGTTGGTTGGCTTTTCAAACCCTTCATTATTTACTTTCTATGTACGTATATTCTACAGCATTTATTCGTCTGCTGATACCCTATTACTTATATATGTATGAATAAAAAGAATACAACATTCATTTGTCATTCATGTTAATTTTTGAAGATGTTTATGAATTTTCTTTTTTATTGGGTAATAATTTATGCAGCAAATAGTTGTATGAGAGAATTTAAAATTCCATCCAATCCATGAGGCGTACATTTTACTTGTCTAGGGCACATACATAATTATACAATTCGTGCCGCTCTTCTGTAGCTTCTCCGCTCATCACCTGTGCCATTATTTTGCCGATTATAATGCCCCTTATCTACCCATGATTTAAAACCTCTATTAAAGATTCTGAAACAGCTTATTGCCAAAGTTAAAATATCCAATGCCATAATAAAAAAAAACATATCAACCGTTTTTAATTTTTTTTCATAATAACACTCGATTTTTAAATCCCTTTCGCGCCATGAGCTTACTCATCAGACAGTCTCAATTTTCACTGCTCGATGCGTGGTATTATGAATTTCGAAAAAAGAACATTGTAAACACAGTACCGAAATTTGTCATGAATTTTAAGTTCTACTTTCAGAATCTTTTATATAGAATTCATATCATGGGTGTTTTGTATGCAAATGTAGGTGTACCCTTAGTACGAACCAGTATCGAAATTGAATAGTTGAATTCGATTTAGATACTCGTCAAATTTTAAGAAGTTTTGTATGTAAATTTGAACAGCGCCACAGCGGACGTAACGAGAACTAAAAATCTTCCATACAAAACTTCTTGAAATTTAACGCGTATCGAGATCGAATTCGATATTAGTTCGTGCTAGGGGTACAGTACCTATATCACGAACTAATATCGAATTCGATCTCGATACGCGTTAAATTTCAAGAAGTTTTGTATGGAAGATTTTTAGTTCTCGTTACGTCCGCTGTGGCGCTGTTCAAATTTACATACAAAACTTCTTAAAATTTGACGAGTATCTAAATCGAATTCAACTATTCAATTTCGATACTGGTTCGTACTAAGGGTACACCTACATTTGCATACAAAACACCCATGATATGAATTCTATATAAAAGATTCTGAAAGTAGAACTTAAAATTCATGACAAATTTCGGTACTGTGTTTACAATGTTCTTTTTTCGAAATTCATAATACCACGCATCGAGCAGTGAAAATTGAGACTGTCTGATGAGTAAGCTCATGGCGCGAAAGGGATTTAAAAATCGAGTGTTATTATGAAAAAAAATTAAAAACGGTTGATATGTTTTTTTTTATTATGGCATTGGATATTTTAACTTTGGCAATAAGCTGTTTCAGAATCTTTAATAGAGGTTTTAAATCATGGGTAGATAAGGGGCATTATAATCGGCAAAATAATGGCACAGGTGATGAGCGGAGAAGCTACAGAAGAGCGGCACGAATTGTATAATTATGTATGTGCCCTAGACAAGTAAAATGTACGCCTCATGGATTGGATGGAATTTTAAATTCTCTCATACAACTATTTGCTGCATAAATTATTACCCAATAAAAAAGAAAATTCATAAACATCTTCAAAAATTAACATGAATGACAAATGAATGTTGTATTCTTTTTATTCATACATATATAAGTAATAGGGTATCAGCAGACGAATAAATGCTGTAGAATATACGTACATAGAAAGTAAATAATGAAGGGTTTGAAAAGCCAACCAACATCCTGTGTAATTGATTGTATGTACACTTTCATAGCCTTATTACAAAAAAGTCAGGCGTTTAACTGAAGTTTAAGAACAAAATAAAATACAAAATTTGTTTAAATGCAGCTCAGAACTGTTTGGTTTTCCCGTTCGTCACCCCTAGATTTGTCCCCTCCGGTGACGAGTAGGAATTTTTCTAATAAAATATACCATAAGTTTCGTCAAAATATAAGTGGTCACACTCAATAAAAAAAACGTCAAAGATGAAAACTATATCGTTCCATTTGGACATGATGTTTGTTTTTCTAGTAGGTAGGACTTAGAACTAATATTAACTCTAAATAGCAAAAGTACAGTTATTTACAGTTATTAACGAGAAAGTAAAACTATTACGCCAGCAAATGATGCATCTTGTCTCCCAGTGTTTCATTTGTGCACAAGTTTTCGGAAACTTAGTAAATATGGTAATCAATGGATATTTTTTATATTTCTGAGCTTGCACTATCTTTACTTTACTTTATGATTTATAGGAAAATGTTCATTTTGAAGAACCATAAAAAAAGTAAATTGAGAGATAAAGAAAATTCATTTAATAATATACTTTCAGTGGTGTCGATCCCGGCATAATTCTCTAAACCTAAACTTAAATTTGACAACAATATATCGTTGTCATTCTCAATACAAAATGAATAAGGGAGACTGATGATAAAAATTAGTTTTAAGTTTAGAGAATCATACTAGAATCGACACCAACAACAGCATATTCTTTATTCCTCGTCTGATTTATCTATATCTATGATATGAACACATTAAAAATTCCATTACGGTTACCTTTATACAATAAATATAAATAAATATACAAGCGGCCGCCCGAGACGGACTTCGTCCTTTCCTGGGCTTTCCTGGATAAAAATTATCCCATGTCTCAATCTAGGTAATAAAACATATGTTGTGACTATGATTGAGACTTGGCTGTATCTCTAAATATATTTATGAAAGAAGAGGAACACCTGTAAATAACCTTACTATAAATTATCGAAAAAAAGATTAAATCAGACGAAATAAATTTGGGTATGCTGCAACGAATCAGAAATGGTATGGAAGCATTATTCTCTAACAAACGCCGCTAAAACATGGTTTCAAACTCATACAATTAAACTTTAATACTAACTCGACACGCACAAATATAAAACAAAATAATTTGACAAATCAAATATCTGCAAATGAATTCGGCTATCCATTCATTGGGTAAGGTAATGTTAAAAGGAAACCCCGACCAATCCCATAATCAGTGTGTTCATGGCATTTTTTTCGCCCGCCCACTTGATCGCAGTTTGCGTGGAACCACTTTTTAGAGCAGTTCGTATTCCATATCATTTGTAATTCGTTGGCATGCTGTCCATTTTCAGTCCTGGGGTTCTAAAATAGCGAGATTGCACATAACATAACATTCATAATGTTGAATTTTTCAATGACAAGATTTTCATGAAGCATTAAATGAACGTAAAATGAAATGAAAAGGTATTATTTAACTGCATCTGATTAATAAAACAAAACATGCAAAATGTCAAATCAAGGTATGAACCTTGATTTGACATTTTATGAAAATAAAACATATCTATGGTGGATGACCGAATATTGATAATTTAGAACCCCGTAGATATAGAAAGTGAAGTTGTTTTACAATCCAACTTAAAATAAAACCTGTAGTAATTGTGATAATATTATTATATAGTGTGCGCATTGGTGGGCAATGGAATATTTCAGTAACATCTCAGGTACGCCTTATAGTATTCATTATATTTTATAACACATTATAGTTAAATGGCAGTGATATATGGTCTACATGACATTGTACAATTTTACAAACCATCAGGGGGTCGAATCTGCTACGCTAAAGTAAAAATCTTGACTCGATAGTATTGCTTTGTAACATGGCTTCTGTTACTAAAACAGAAAAATAATACCTTGAGATAACAGTTATAAATGGGTAACCTAATACATTTATTTTTAATTTTAGTATTGAACACTGTGTCAAAAATCAAAACTACTGAAACACCATTGACACAAGATTATTACTTAAACTTCGCAGAATCGACATAGAGATTGTATTCTAGCTAGTGCAATTTTAAACTGTCGATAGTTTATAAACGAACACTATGTAATTATAACGCAATCTGGTGGCCCATGTGTTTGAGCACATTTTGATTATTACTGATAAATACTTATTAGGGCTACAGGCTTAATAGCTGTAGGCGTATCGTCTGTAACATTAATGCAATATATTTTAAATTACAATTCATACCGTTGGTTAACAATCTACTTATAGTTTACAATAGCATTAGGTAGAATATAAACTGTTTGTTCCATGTATACAATACGTTGCATAGCAGTAGTGTAAAAGATATACATAAATAATTATATAAAAATCTCTTTTCAGTTGGAGATCGAGCCAATAATATAAAGTTCACTATTTTAAATAATATTACATCAAAAGCACATGATATTAATATAAAAAAAATCAACCTATCAATCATTAAAATCCACACAAGATGTTAATGAACCTAACTATCACACATACAACCAAAACCGTAAGAATACAAAATACAATTTTCGTGCTTCTACCTTGATGAAAATGGACACTGTTATAGAATGTATCCGGATATATATATTCTTTATTTGTGGCAATTTATAATAATTATTAATCCAGGCATGATTTTCTATTTCCTTATCCATGGTCAATAGATGATGAAACAATTTTGAGCTTTCAGATAGCTGTACTGGATATATTTAAAAAGCACCTTTTATTAGAACGAACACAAACAGAAAACAATATTTACTAATAAATGTGAATCTCTAACCTACTTATAAATGTAGTAATTTAAGTCATTTTAGTGCATAAAAATCTAATTAATTAATTTAGTAATTAAAATAACGCTTTAGAACACAATCCGATAAATGACTAGTATTTCTAGCATTTGTACCTTTAACTGCTGCCAATGTGTTTTGATATGCTACCATGATTTAAATAAATAAGAAATACTTTACATTACAATAATACAAGTCGTCGTGCGTATACGCATTAACAGTATTCGTAGCTTTTATTTTATTTTTTTAGCATTTAACTGCTACATTTATAAATCTTAAGAAAGTAGTCTTGTAATTTCTCTAGTCGGAGGTTTGTAAAATATTATTTTCTTATTTAGTTAACACCGGGATATTTAATTTCAATTTTAGATATTTAAATTTTAGAGACTTAATACAAAATATTAAGTAATGGAAAAGTTACTGGAACTATACGCAAACAGTGTGCACACTTCTTTAGAACAAGAAAGGTTAGGATCTTTTTTCCCATTCATGCGTATACGTACGAAAATACTTAGGTACAGAACCGCAAACAAAGTGCTAGCTCTCTTAGGCCCCATTGTTTCATATATAGTTAGTGTCACGTCAAATATATAGTAAATATGTAAATTTTTGACATAGGTATTATTAGGTAGGTAGGTAGGTATTTTATAGGATTTTACTTACACACATAATAGGCTATTTGACAGTATGCAAAATAATATACCAATTGTTGGTTACTGTATGTAATATGAATATTATCAGTGATTTTACTATTCTGAAAGAACAAATAATTAATAAATTTTCGATGAAATCATTAAATGAAAATGATTTATTTGCTCCTTGGTCACGTGATGGAAAACACCGAAATGACGTCACACTAGCTAGTGACATTACGCACTAATAAGACGCCATAATGTCCAGAGACACGATTTCACGTCAACTTGAAAATTGAATTTTAATGTAGTATTTTAACTGAATTACACAACAGAATGAAAAATATCCACTTATTTTGGACTACATAAACATTAGTAAGTGACCTGAGATCGTTTTCTAAAACTTGTCAAATACCCTATTGGGCCAGCATTAATCGGCACAGCCGGGCGGTTAAATCGTATTTATGTAGATGAATGTTCAGCAGTAATTACTACGGGTCGGCTTTATTGTTCCACAAATACTGCTGAACCGACTATGCCGGCCCGTTTGTGTGACCCAAAGTCACATGACATTTACATTTTTGTAAACGCAGTAGATTAGTTTATTTCCGCTTCACGTTGCAATAAAAACGAAACTAATGAAACAAAAAAAACGAGCGAGCCTTACAGTTGTCGCGTATGATGTGTAACATTTGAAACCTCGCCTTATATTAGTAAAAAAAGAAATAAAACCTACTACAAAAGGAATAAGCCATTTGAACATTATGTTCTAAAATCAAATCAAATAGCGCGCGCTTCCCAAACTTCCTGTTACACACTTCCGTCCTACTTCACGTAATCACTCCCATTCCATCCCGCAAATTGCACGAAAGCGAGAGGTCACTTTTATTGATGTTACACATCAATAATCGACACACGCAAGTAAGACATAACTGACATGTGATATATTCTTACCGACCAGGCGGTGGCTAATTGTGATTTTGAGGACGGTCTTCATTCGATCGCTAGTTGTGACATGAGCAACTCTGGTGGCGGAGTGAGGCCGGGTTGAAGCGTGACGGCAACGCCTCGGTTCAGTGAAACAGCCGGGTAGAAGGCACCTCGCAGGCCCGTGAATGCTATATCACCCTGAAAAAAAATTAAATGTAAAAAAAAACTTTAAAAAACGCTTTTATTTAAATGCGCTAAAAAGGATATTTCAAAATTTTGCTTCATTACTTTTACTATGAACTTATCACGTCGTTCACACAATTAATATAAAAGCTTGTCGCGAGATTTACCCGTGTAGATAAACAAAATTTGATAAGCATGATTTTTTTTTTAAATTTTCGCTACCAAATGAAACTTAAATCTGGCGACAAGCTTTTACATTATATAAATTGTGTAATGACGTTACGTTATAATTTCATGTTGAGATTGGTGGGTTCTATCGACCCACCTATCGTGAGGAATCTTCCTATCTTCTAAACAGGGAGGACCCTGTTTCGGAAGGCTCACTGAGCTCCTGCTCAAAATAGTAAATTTTTTGGTCACCCATCCAATGACCGACCACTGCGTAAGTTGCTTAACTTCAACGATCGCAGCCGAACGCGCGTGAGGTCGAACAGCACGTCGACGGTTGAACCACGCGCGGGGTCGTGGGGGGAGGGTACCTGCGCGCGCTCGTCCACGGTGAAGCGCAGCGTGCCGCGCGTGAGGTCGAGCAGTACGCCGACGGTTGAGCCGCGCGCTACGCCGCCCGCCGCCCGACCGCCGTGCGCGCCCCCGTGCACGAACCACGACCGGCACCCGTCTATGTACATCGCCCACCCGAGCGCGTCGCTACCTAAACAACCGCAACACACTCATAATTATTCTACGTGTCTCGACTTGTTTTTGTGCACCGTGGATTGTGAGTTACCTGATCAATTTGAATAAAAATTGTGAGAATGTACTACAAAATATCCTGAAACGGCACAATTCGCAAATTATATACCGATCATGGAATTGGTATCTGTTTAAAGTACGTAGATGGTAAAAGTAGTTTTATTTGAATAAATTTATGGCAATTATATTATTTAGGTTTCTATAATTTCTAATAGTAATCTACGGAAATATAACCTAAGTCGTTGTCTGGATAAGCTTGTGAATATTCTCAGGTTACTCTTAATACACGGTATATAAATGATTTGAGTGCGTTTGCCAAAATCACACCTAATGCTAAGCAACGATGTGGTCTAAGCTGGAGCATGTAAACTCAAATAATGCCAAGTCGCCTTGAAGAATTATATGTAAAATATGATATGTATTGAGGAATAATGACGTAGGAAGAGAATTTCATTCCCTAACGGCTCGAATGACAAGGGCAGATGCTCATGGGCACATTTATCTTTCTGACACAACTATATTAAATACCCTAGATACACCAAAACGAACAAAATCGAGCCCGAAACCTGTCCAAAAGGTACATTGGACGATCCACAGAGATCCGTAAGATGATCACTTAGTCAAAAATAATATAAGGCATTAAACATTCAAAGTCACCTTTAATGCATACTGCACAAGGTCGTAATTAAAACGCATGCGTCAGAGTTATGACAGTTCGAAATGCAAGCTCGTAAAATTTTAGCACTTATTGCTTTATATATATATATATATATATATAACGCGCGGGTCGCGCGAAACGAACGAGCAAAGCGAGCGTGCCGCAGCAGTGGCCGGCGAATATAAAATGTAAGTTTTTGCGAAAAAGCGAAATTTTCCACAGAATGGAAATGACAAACATTTTTTTCTAGAAATGCCAGTTTCCAACTAAACCTAGTTTGTAATATGATTGACAACTTATTCTCAGCTATATGCTTTGGAATGGACAACTTACCAAGCATTTTGTCCCGCGCGACATCAGCACGAGCGATCCCGAAGGCGGGGTCGGCATCGCCATCATACTGGTCGAGCCGGAGCCGCCAGTAGTGCAGCCCGCGAGCCAGCGGTTGGTCGGCGAGCGCGACGCGCGGTTGCCAGCCCGCCGCCGACGCCGACAAACCGTCCGCGCTCAGCGCCACGCCGCCGTCCGCGCACCCGAACCGCACGTCCCACGTGAACCAAGCCACTGTGCGTCAAAATGATACCGTCAGGGATCAATGGTATTGATTCTGGCATGATTCTCCATGTACGGGTTTTGTACACCTTTTATGATAAAGAGAGAGAAGAGAGTCTTCATATGTTAAAATGATATATTACTGATAACAAACTGATAATTACGAAACTAAAATGATATGACTTTGAGAACGCGAATAATGACCGATGACGAACTGATTCATAATTAACCTAAATAAATGCATGTGGCGTAAAATGCCGACGGGGCAAATGTATGCGCTTGCTCGTACACTAAACCAAAACTTAAAGGACATTGTTCACCGTCCATACATAGTTAGCCTAAGAACCAACAATCATGAAATATTATTTTCTAGGTTCAAAATCGTAAGTAAATGACTGTATAAACAAAAATTATTGACGGACACTTCTGAGAACTTAAATTATTAGCAAAACTAAAAAAATTTTGAGGTTATGTTTAATATTCAATCAAACATAGGTCCACCTATGAATTTAGTATAAACTCAGTATGAAGTGAATTAATATTACAACTAATTTATTTTATTCGGTGTGATTTTAAAGAATAACTATAAGGAAAACCTTGGTTAGGTAGGAATCATGAATAAAATAAAAACTGTTGTTTTGCTTCTTATTTATTGACTATCTTCCACATAATTGTATCATATTGTTTATTGTATTTATTTGTATATCACATGTAGGTATATTGTGTAAATATGCAGCGTGAATGTGTATCAGGTGTTCTTGAATAATTTGGCAGTATGATCCTCTCAGGATGTTGTGGCACAGGTTCACAAGCACTTGGTAATAAGGGATCTGCTCTTTGGTAACATCGACAGCATATTAGATAGCCGAAATAGTTAAATTAAAGGAAAAACAATCGCAAATAAACACACAACAGGTAATCCGAAACAAGAACGCACTTTCCGGTATATTAAAATACTTTTTGGAATGCACGAATGCCACAGATTACTACGAATGCAAATGGCATGCACCACAACCACAGTAACGAGTTTTATGCCGGCCCTTCACTTGACAACAGTTTGTCCTTGTCATGCTTAATAAGGAATGAAAAGGACAGACTGATGTCATGTTTTAAAATAGCAAATACGAATAATCAAGTGAAGTGCCGGCATTAGGAAGAAAAAGTGTTTTGTTTGCAGCGCTGCCATAGATTATACACATAAAATGGTATTTAATGTCTCAGATTATTTTTTAACTTTTTAATTTGGCTTACTTAACTAGAAGTGCCCGTCACAATTTAAATACTGATAATTATCGCAAAAAATAAACTAAGAATTATCAGAAATGCCAAATTGGTGTTGGTTCTTAGGCCAATTTTAACATTGTCCTCTAACAACAATCTATCCTTATCATTCTCTATACAGATTGGAAAGAAGAGAAGTATGATAAATTTAGTTTTAAGTTTAGAGAATCATGGCAGAATCGACACCAATGACTGCTAAAAACCTTTTGTATGTTTAATATGCCAAACAGAAAAAAACCGAAATGAATTAGCGACTGTCGTGCAAATCCGGGGTGTTTGTCCTCAAATTTGTATTGGTGCGTTATTATAACCATTTTCGTTTGCTAAATAACCATTTATTTTATTGAAGAATTCTAGTGTCAAATGATGACTTAACAAAATAATTACTTACTTGTTTATAAATAGAAATGTAAGATTTTTTATGTATTGTATGTGAAATACCCAATATTTGACATGCAATAGTTCTGGATTTTGTTAATTAAAAGTTTTTTTTAAATCATTATGGGTAGTCATCCACAGGCATAGTTACAGTGTCGAAAATGTCTTAAATAACCTCGAAAAAGATGGAATATCTGTGTCTTTGTATGTTATTGCTCTATCTCTAACAGTTCACAGTCACATAAAATAATCAACACAAAAACGTTAATTTTGTAGTTTCGGTTGTACTATCTATATAAAAAGTTTTTTTTATTTTAAAATATGATAGATAGGTAATAGATATATCACTACGTTATTGCACTTCGGTTGTATATATTTTTTTATCTTATAATCAGACCCCTCTTTCCTAGTGGGCACTTTGGGCCCAGGGCCCCGCGATCGATAGGGGCCTCTCAAATACAAAGTCCCTAGTTCCTGTTAGAGCACCAAACGATAACCAATATTTATTCCCAAAAAACTTATTTAATTCGATGAAATCGATCCTAAATGACGGACTACAATGCCAACTTACTAGCTTTTACATAAGCGAAGCTAATCTATTCTCGCCTTTCCCACTACAGCATGCTAAGACAAATTATGGTATAGGTACTAAGCACATACACATTTTAAAGAAAAATCATCAGTAGTACAGTCATCAGTATGACTTGCTCCATTTCAAGTCATAATCCACAGAAAAGTCATAGGGGCCCCATTATCCTAATATGCCCAGGGCCTCCAATAGGTTAAAGATGACCCTGCTTATAATAGGTGAGTACTCAAAATAGTAATTGAAACAGAGAAGTACTTTGCACGACCAATAACTCTGCCAGTGCGTGTCCAATCCCGTTATCCAAAGGTTTTAGTAAAAGATTTAAGTTTCTTCCACTTTAAAAAAAAACAAGTTAGCTTTGTGTTGATCGTCAGTTTTTTAGCATACGCATAAGGGGTAGGGCTGCCATCTCTAAAATGTGGCAACCAGGATCAGAGGCGTCATAACCCCGGATTTTGGAGCCCAGAACCCGGACAGACCAATAGAAAAACAGGCAAAAATGTCACAAATCAACTATTTTTTGTTGATGTAGGCAAAAGAGGTAGTGGTCTACCTCATAATAAGTGGTCACTGCTGCCCATGGACACTTGCAGCACCAAGGAAAGCTGATCTTTGTTGGAAGTCTGCATTTATGGTTACAGTGTTAGAATAGATTTATTCATTTTCAAAGACATTTAAATTGACGGATTAATTGGCGACCCAAAACAGGAAATTTTTAAACCCGGACGACAAATGAAACCCCGCCCGGACGCTCCCCGGACGCCCCTTAAACTAGGACAAATCCGGGGAAACCCGGACGGAAGGCAGCCCTAATAAGGGGGCGTCCATAAATTACGTGAGATGTTTAAGGGGGGGAGGGGGTCGAGTCAAATCTCATCTAATCTTACGTCGGAGAGAGGGGGGGTCGAGTCAAATATCACGCAATTTTTTTTCTGATTGAAACAAAAAAAAATATACTATTTTGGTCCATTTAATCCAGATTGTACATGCTTAAAATTTAATCTTAAGCGTAATCGTAATGCGATTAAGATCATTCACTATTTCGTTTGAAAGAAATAACTCTCAGCAATATTGATTACTAGTCTTAACTAGTCGTAAAAAGCACGAAGCATTTTTTTTTCTTTTAACAATAACAATCCAACGCATTTAAGTAAGAAACCCACATTTTGAAAAATCTCATGTGAGATTGAGGGATGGGGGAGGGGGTTGAAAAAAATCTCACGACATCTCACCAGGGGGGGAGGGAGGGACAGAAAATTCAAAAAAATACCTCACGTAATTTATGGACGCCCCCTAAATAATATTATGTTTACTGGCTAACTTAGTGTACGAATAAACCTTTCTGTTACACTAATAATTATAAAACTGTAACGTTGATAATAATAAATATAAAAAAACATGAATTTAAAAAGTAACTGCCTTGTGTAAAGTATGTCTAATGCCGGCACTGCATTTGGTTAATTGTATTTGGTATTTGTAAACTTGACAACAGTCTCTCCTTTGTATTTCAAAAGAGTGTGATATGGATGACCTGCTGTCAAAATGACAAATAACAAACACGTACAGCCATGTGAAGTGCCGACATAACCGCATAACATGTAAAAAATCCGACCAAGTGCGAGTCGGACTCGCGCTCCAACGTACTGTTATATTTACAATATTAGACACTACATTATTACATAGAGCAAAAAATACGTTTGTCGTATTCCTATTCTGTCGCTCCTGCCCCCCTTAAATATTTATTTTTCTGCTGTTATAGCGGCAACGGAAATACATCACGTGTAAAAATTTCAACTTTCTAGCTATCATGGTTCAAGATATAGCCTGTTAACTGACTGACAGACGGACAACGGAGTCTTAGTAATAGGGTCCCGTTTTTACCTTATGGGTACGGAACTGTTAAATGAGAATGTAGTTCAATTATTTCCTTAAATTAAACATAAAAATATCAAATATTTCTACAGGATCAGTAAAGTAACTTGTGTCCGTCAGCACAATATTCATCGCACGTGGCATTCGCGATAAATAGTTATTAACGTGATGTAATGAGAAAACATCATAAGTTCCTGTTTCGTGGCTTTCTGCAGTCAGCATATTGAAGTGAAAACTTCTTTAGCGGCGTTGTACACTTTTTTTGTATGGGTAAAAAATATAAAAATCGCGTCAGGTTCAACACGTGGGCTGATCGCATCATGACACACAATAAAATTGGAACGGTTGTTGACTTTCAATATATTGGACGCATAGTAATTTTTACCGTATTATAATAATAAGGCTCTATCTAGGACGTCCACGTGGCAGCTTTATTGCGAAGAAAATGCTTTTTTTACAATAGATGTCGCTAGGTGCGCTTAAATGTGATTCATGTAAGTTGATTTTTCTGAGAAATAAACTTTTTTAATGTTATATAAATTGTCATGATTGTGTACGATAGCGCAATAAATAAATATTGTATTCTACCACATACATGATAGTACTTTTATACTGATAATTAAAGCAATTCGTGCAAAATTATTCCCTAACCATTCCAAAATATCAAAAATGCACAACGTTAATACTCAAGTTTTCACTTCTGCCGGCACTCCCGGAATGCAACCCGTCGTTGTTTTTTAGTTGAAAAATCTAGTCAGAAATTATACTCCAACCAGCATTGTTATTATTTTACTACGGAGTCCGCAACATAACTCACCAGGCGACGTCTGTAGGCCGATGACTTCGCTATAGGGTCCCTCCCCCGCGCCATTGAACGCTTTAACTCGCGCGCTGTACAACGACGCGTAATGTAGCCCGTCGATTGTGCACACGGTCTCTCTTCCGCAGTACACTTCCTATATTGATATTAATAACATAAAGTAACAGTTAATATTTCAAAAAAGCGCCTTATTTGAAATATTTGCATTTTTTGCGGTGCTTAGAAAAAGATGCAAATCTTTTTCTTTTTGCCTGATGCATCAAGCATGTAAACTTGTAGGTATGCCAGATCAAGCGCATATGGGCAGACATTTATAATATGCCAATGTGTTAGCAACAGATTCGGATTCAAAGCAGGGCAGGCTGTGGCCCAGGGGCCCCCACAAAACGTAACTTAATTTCAACGGGGCACCAACCAGGGTGCAAATCGTAAGTGACCTGGTCTGTGAAATAGTGGCCCCACTTCTTCGTTGCCCCAGGACCATCACACTTCAAAGTCCAGCCCCTGTTAGCAAGCACTATAATAGAAAATGGTTAAGCCGTCTGATATCCGAGATTTTTTGAAACTAGACAGATTACAGTCAATAATTACATAAAAAAAAAACAAATTTTAGTAAACTATACAATACTCCATAAATAGTGAACACAAGCTGTGTTAGCTAATAATTACTAAGAGCATAAAAAATAAAAACTGGTCAACTGCGAGCCAGATCGCGCAATCAGGGTTCCGTACCATTAACTATATAACATTGGACACTATATTATAATATCGAGCAAAAAATTACAAAATAATCACGTCGATTGTATGGGAGCCCTGCTAAAATAGTCATTTTATTTTAAATAAATTATTAATTTATTTGTAAAGTGAATAAACAACTTAATATTCTTTGAAGTTTTCATGTGTCTCCCTGTTGCCGTTATTAATATAGACAAAAAACGGCAAAAAATTGTTGTATGGGAGCCCCCCTTAAATATTTATTTTATTCTGTTTTTATAGTATTTGTTGTTATAGCGGCAACAGTAATACATCATTTGTAAAATATTATCTGCCCTTTGGTAGATGGGTTTATTAATTACAACCTGGTAACAGACAGACAGTGGAGTCTTAGTAATAGGGTCCAGTTTTTACCCTTTGGATACGGAACCCTAATTTCATTTCAAATTCGGGTAACAAGTTAAAAAGCACATTAGAAAAGATTCAGATAAAATAAGTTAAACTTAGTATTGATGTACAGTCCGCCGAGCCCGGCGTCCAGCTCGAGCACGTATCCCCGCACGGAGGCTGGAGCGCTCGTCGCTGTCCCCGGCATCAATACACTGAGTATAGACGCGTAGTACTGACCCGGAACGGTCCGCTGAGCCCGTCGTCCAGCTCGAGCACGTATCCCCGAACGGAGGCTGGAGCGCTCGTCGCTGTCCCCGGCAACAATACACTGAGTATAGACGCGTAGTACTGACCCGGAACGGTCCGCCGAGCCCGTCGTCCAGCTCGAGCACGTATCCCCACACGGGGCTGGAGCGCTCGTCGCTGTACCCGGCATCAATACACTGAGTATAGACGCGTAGTACTGACCCGGAACGGTCCGCCGAGCCCGTCGTCCAGCTCGAGCACGTATCCCCGCACGGAGGCTGGAGCGCCCGGCGCCCGCCACGCCAGCGTGCACGAGCACCCGCGCGCCGCGCACGCCTCCACAGCCATCTCCGGCGCGCCCGGCGCTGTCACCGGCATCAATGTACATTGTTTTTTATGAGTCTCCGATATTTCGGCACTGTTGCAAGCGCCATGCTCACGGAGTAACAGGCTAATTCGTCATGATCACGGAGTAGCCGACTAATTCCGCTACATGGTAACAATCCCGTTAAAAGCTATAAAATTATTTAAACTGCTTCTGCAGCAACATTATGTCCATCTTCTTAGTTTGACTCACTGTTATAACCTTTTTCCTTTAGTCAGAAGACGAATAAGGCTCAACTATTTAACAATAGGGTAAAGATTTAAAATATCATATTTTATTAAAATGCATTTTCTATGCTAGTTTTGCTATTTATTGTTACGTAAACGTAATTTGAATGCAAATAAAAAGATCAATATTTTAAAACTTGTGATTATGTACGTATTTTTACAATGTCCCACTTTTTGCACTCAAAAAGTTCCAAAATCTCGACTTGGCAAAAAACATTTATTATAGATTTTTTTGTAACTATTATTTTTGTGATATACAACTCGGCATCAAAATCTGTAAGTGAAAAATCACCCCTACGCTTAGGATTGGATTTTTTCCAAATTCATTTGGAATAAACTTCGGAGTATACCCTCTCCAATAAAACAAAAATTATCAAAATCAGACTACTTAATAAAACATTGTGTGGTCATAAATAAAAAGTAAACGCGTCGACTAGACAACCTCCTGTTTTTTTCGTCAGTTAAAAAAACACAGCAGTGACGCATTTCTAAGCCACCTCGGCCGCGTTTGCTTCCTCACACAAAATTAGGTAGATAGGTGGTGACCAGTCTGAACTGGCTATAATATGAATAATTATAATTACAGTATTCTATCCTTTTATGAAAAGTAAGCAACATCTCACGTTTCTGTGTCTCTTAGGCCCATGTTAATAGAACACTCTTAACTCCAAGATTGCTCTCAGAGTTAAGTGTTCTACTAATACGAGCCATAGCCACAAAATAGCAGTCACGTTTTCCGACTTATAGTAATATTAATAAATGCTCCGAATTATTAAATAATACTTAATTAGTGTTTTGCTTAGCTAAATAACCAAACTGATGGAGTTGTTTAACCAAGCACATCTTTACAATTTTTAGGTTTACCTGATGTCTGCATTTGCTTTTCTTCTGCTGCATTCCAAAAATAAAAGTAAATATCATATTATTCAACAAGTAAAATTTCTTAATATTTTTCTTTATTTCAGACCCAGAAAGTAGATTTATTTAAATGTGCCTTATATTTGCATATTAGCCAGCGTGTTTTTACTTACGTATGCATTCAATGAAGTTCATAGACCTTACGGTCCGTAGTACAGACTCCACATCAAGAGTAAGAGCTGGCGGTGAGGGTGGAGCATCTAAAGATGATCCCAGGTTTGTGGCAGTTTCCAGAGCTCGGGCAGACAGTATGCTCCCAACCTTATAAAGGTATAATATTAAGTAATACATCAATATTTATGTGTTACAAATAGTAGCAGAATTTTATTTTGATGATAAAAATTATGAAATAAAACTATAAGTACAAAATTATATTTATATGTCTTAGCTCATTATTAAATAACTATATTTTATTGTGATACCCTTATTTATAATAATAAACTAATCAATCATTGATCATACATAAAGGAATCATCTTGATGGAGGTATGAGGTAAACTCCTAATTGTGTAACTTTTTCTCCAATTGCCATTCCTTTCTTTATATAAGAAATAAAAAAAAGATAATGAGTAATCACATTCTTTTGATCATACCTGTAAGAAAGCTGCATGATCTGATTCCTTTAAAGCTTCAATAGAAAAGTGAAGGAGAGCAGTAGCTTCTCGAAGTTTTTGAGCAGCTTGTGACTTGAGTGAGCGATTGTTAGCAATTGCTTGAGAACGTGTGTTTCTAGCAGCTCGGATGAGTTCATCACGTCTTAACTCTATGGCGCAGGTGACTTCTGCGCAGGCACTGTCAATTTGTCTCTCTAATTCTTCACATGTCTCCTGAAAATAATAGTAAAACTGTTCTTTAATGCTGTATCAACAATAATTTATTCTGATTGAATAAGCATAGGTTTAAATTATTTTTATGGTAAAGTGATTACTAGACTAGTAAACTATTTTGTTTATTATATGCCAATAATAAATGTAAAAATGTGTTTTTGTTCTTAAGTACACAAATAAACAATAATATATAATTACTAGCTGTCCCAGCGAACTTAGTACCACCATAAAAAAATAGGGGTTGGTGGTAGAAGGGTGAAAATTTAGGGTTATATGTATTTTTGTATGATGTATCATAAAAAAATTAAAAAAGAAATTATCTAAAATTAAAAAAAAAAAAGGGGTGGATTACCCTTAACATTTAGGGGGATGAAAAATAGATGTTGTCCGATTCTCAGACCTACCCAATATGCACACAAAATTTCATGAGAATCGGGAAAGCCGTTTCGGAGGAGTTTAACCACAACCACAGCGACACGAGAATTTTATATATTAGATATACTTACTGATATACCTAAAAACCCAGAAAATCTGACAGATGAGGAATGTAAAATGTTACTCACATTAATTTTGTCCCCTGAACCCTTAATAATCTGTATATATTCAGTCATAGCTTTGGCTTGTTCAGATAGTTGTTGCAGTGATTGTGATAATTCAGTCTGAAATATTATAGTCAATAAATTAAAATGTTATAAAGAATCTAATTAGAGAATTATAAACTTTCACTTGTATACCTTATGGGCTCTTGCTGCACTAGTCAAAGGTTGAGTTTCATGGACAGAGTGTCTCTCAGCAAGGCAACGGTGACAAATAGGAAGTAGACATGTATTACAATAGAGCACTGGGGGAGATCCATGATCAGCACAAGTTGTACCAAGTGTTCGGAGTTCATGTTGGGCTAATGGTCCACGAGTAGGATGCCAAGCATCACGACATCCAGCACAATAGCGTACTGAGCATTGTTCACACCTTACAACAGCAGCACGTCGCTCCCCTTCGCACATTTGACAAGCCTCTTCTGCGAGAGGAGCCCCTGTGGTTCCACCAAATCTCTCCACAATAGTCCGCATAACTCTAAATGGCGGAAGACCTTCAGCTCCATTGTCATCTAAGTACACTTGTTTGCTACACAATGGACAAATTAACGAGAAAGCGGCGGGTGAATACACGGGTGCAGCCGGAGTTCCAGCGTAACTGTTAGGCCTTGATCCACATACCACACCGCTGTCAGTTTCACTAGAAACGGATGCTTTATCAGCTTCGTGATAATCTATTGAAGGTGCTACGTTTTCTCCTTCGTGCACGTGAAGTTGTAAATTCACTGCACAAGTGCGACACAAAGCATGACCACAAGGTAGAAGTACTGGTTCTTTGTAAAATTCTTTACATGCAAAACATCTAAGTTCCTCTTCCATCTTGAATAGATTTATTAAAGTAGCATCATTTTTGGAAAATATTACAGTCTACACAAGCAGTTTTAAACTCATAACACAGTGCAACTAAATGATTAACACTTTAAATAATAATCAAATTACCAAAACAAAATACCGTAGCATACCACCACACACAGACTTTTAATGTTTCTTGTTTTGTTTTTTTTAATTTATTTTTTCTAGGAAAACAAAGAGAACAAGGGCCATGCATCCTCGTCTATATTATTTAAGGGTCAGGCCGCCATTTTTTGCTGATTTTGAAAACTGTTTTCTCCGCGGTCAGTATTTTGAAAAGTATTATAGATATCGAATTTTCGATGACGGCTTTGGATTAAGCAACAAAGTGACTCAAGTGGACATTATGATTATTTCAGGTCAGATCATAAACAAAAAATATATTTCGAATGAAATCTGAAAAAAGGTAGTAAAATTACATAAAAACTTCTATCCGCCGAGGTAGAAGTGCACTTTAACTATCGTAGTAGCAAAAAGTATGTCAGTTTTTGAGACATGGCTATAAGAATACTTATATTAATAGCTATCCGTGCTTTTAATTTAGCAACGTTTATCCTAAGAATTTCCTTGAAAATGATTTCAAATAAGTTTTAGTCAAAAACTGTACTTATACGCCACTTTTGTCAACGCCACCTATTCTCCATGTTCTATTAAACTCTAGGAATCGGTGAAGTTCAAATCGGGAAGTGGCAATACTGAGTTTCTGTAATCTGTTGATTGCCAATAAATTTAAAAAAAAGTTATCTGTGGACAGCGACTGAGCGGCTATATTTTTGACAGTTGACATGTGAACGTCTTCTAGTTTGTTTACACGAAAAACAAATAGTGTACTAACATCATGTAAGTAGAAGTGAAAGCCATGTTAGGAGCTATAATGCAACTCAAATCATACTTTATTTACAGAGATATAAGTGGTTTTCTCAACGCGACGATAGCGTTGAAGTAGAAATATGCCACCATTTTGGTACTTCAACGCTAACGGTAGCGTAGATATTCGTCACCTCCTCTACGCCACCAAATAAAGGTAGGTATCCACTCGTTTTTATTATACTAACTTTTTACCTGACTGCCGAAGAAAGGAGGGTAATGTTTTTCGGGAGTGTATGTATGTATACTAACTAAACCCATTCGTGTAATTTCAGCTTGTATTTCTTAGGCTGCAAGGCATAGATCACGGTAACATAATGGTCAGTGCATCTGCCCGGATAGCGGAGGGTGCAGTTGCGAGTCCCGTCTGCTGCCTGGACCGCGAGGATTTTTTTTAGTAAAATTTTTCTTTAGATTTAAAATCTAGCAAATAAATGCTTTAAAAAATAAAAATATAATAAATATGTCTACTTAGTTGATTATAAAATTGTTGATGTTTTTATTTACTTAGATATAGGGAACTACTTCTTATTCTAAATTCAATGAGCTGGTCCATTAGTGGGGGTCCATTATTAAATTGTGTTCATTATTAGATGTCCATATTTGGTGCATGTTCATCACTGGATGTCCATTAAATGATTTTCCTTGTCCATTACTAGCTTAAAAAACCGTGTTTATATTATAATGATATCTCTCATTTTTATGCGGTTATTTTTAACTTTTTCAGCATGAGCATAAAGGAAAAAAGACATTGATGTTTAAACAAAATCCTTATATATTAGGAATAATCCTGCAAAAACCCACCTTTTCATCCTTAAAGTGTCCATAATTGGTGCAATAGGCTAGTTGACTCATGTCGAATTGTATTAAATAAATGTTTATTTCTTAAAGTCTAAAGGTCTAAGGAACCTAAATATATCGATTTCACTTCATAAAAGCAGAAGATTGCTGCAGAAATTTAATTTAAAAAAATATTTTTTAGTCTATATTTTCTAAACACTAAAAACGCTATCCGCCACATCCGCCATGATTGTGACGTCTCTTATGGTAAACAACTAAATGTCATTCGCGTGTTACTGTGGGTGGATTCTTTCGTCTGACTAAATTTATCTTAAAACACTTTTAACTTTAGAATAGTCTCCGTTTACTGTTTTTTTTTTGAAAAAACTAATTATGGATGCCGGCTTTGTGAAAACAGAAAGCACAAATCTGCCAAGAATTGACGCATTCATGGTTGGTGAATTTATTGCACTAAACCCCGATTTCTGCTCTGCGGAGCAGAAAAACGACAAGGCATCTATGTAAGTACAGTGTATTTAGTATTACAATGTAGTAATGTAATACACATAAAACTGATACAACATATGAATAAGTGTAATAAAGTTGCGTAGGTTAATTTCTTTCGGCACTTTTAATCCACAACTTTCCTGGAGTCTTCAAGGATGTGTTTTTATATTCTCGTACAATACAATAATGATAATTACTTTATTTTTCGGGGTATTTATTAGAAATCATCTTTTGATTATTATAAAATCAGTTAAGTTATTTTCTACGTGCTTACGAGTTTTTGTTTATTTACCTTTCTCTATGTGTTTACTGCAGTTAACGTCATAGCATAGATAATCTATAGACTAAAATGGCCGACAGCGTTTTTGTATGTCCATGAAAAATCTATTTTAAAATTAAAGATTTGTAGCTTTTTATGTCTCAAAAAAATACAATACTTTTTTTTTCGGTCTAATAGAACATTTATTAACCATTTAAAACCTTTTTCCAAAAAGGGTCAACTAGCCTATTACGTTATACAACATAATTTAATCTTAATATTTTGGCATGTGTATGCCAACCCTAACATTTATTCGTCACTATTATACGCTACTCAACGTCACCGACGCGTAGAAGTTTCTACGCCACCAACACAATACTTCTGCGCCATATCAGCAAAAAATGGCGACCTGACCCTTAACATTAATATTAGTCGATTCTAACAAGATTTTCTAAACCTAAACTAAATGGTGAGTATAAAGTCAAACATGGACCGAGTATAGTTGAACCAAGATTATTTCTTAGTGATTTGTGCACAAAAATCCATCGTATCGCTTTACATTTAAATGTAAGTTGTTGACGCTGCTACCGCCCGCGCTATAATTTCTAATTTTTTTACTGGTAGAGAATGCCTAATGGCATTAAGTCCGCCATTTGTACATACTTTTGTGCAATAAAGTATAAATTATTAAATAATTTCTCTTGTCTGAATATCTTGCATTATATTTCTTTAAAGTATTAAAGTTACAAATAAACTAGATAAGTTGTTAGATTTATTACTTCGTATTTTAAATAACACAACTTTAAGTATCTGGCCGTGGTATCTGGTTGATGTAAATAATAAGAAAGCACACGGCGCGCTCGAATAAAAAAAAAAAACACGAAAAATTTTGCTTGATGATTAAGTCCAAATTACTAATATTAAAACTTTATTGCTGAATTTATACGCAATCTACTGATAATGATTGAAATGAATGCACCCGGTGCCGACGACGTTTGATTGTACACTGATTTCCACTCCACTTCCACTTTAGATAATATTATGGCTCCATCTTTATGCACGATGATTCTGCCAATGGTATCGATTCTGGCGTTATTCTCTAAACTTAAAACTAAATTTAACATCAGTCTCTCCTTTTCATTTTGATAGAGAATGACAGAGATGCACTGTTGTCAAATTTAAGTTTAGCTTAGAGAATCATGCCAGAATCGACATCAATGTCAGGGTTAAAAAAGGCACTGTAATATCGGTATTCTTCCTTGTACGGTGTGGTAGCCCGGTTTCCTCGTGAAGCTATCGCGTGGAGTTGAGATTCTAAAAATGGACAACAAATATACCATCACAAGTAAACATGTACCCAAGCATACAAATTGTTAAGTGTCTTTATTAGTGTATTCAAGCATTGGATTGTAAAAGATGCCATAGCAAAGCATATAAAGAGTTTCGACATCATAGGACAATGTTGTTACCTTTTATAAACTTTCCCAGGAGTTTAATATAGGTTGTATTGACCTGCGTTAATAGTAACGGAATATTTACTGGTCTAGGGATATTTTTAAGTAAAAGGTCATATAAATGTACCTGGACATTTAGGCATCTAAAGAATATGTGTTCCACGGTGCCATACTCTAGTCCACACTCACACAAGGAGTTGTCCCGAATACGGAGTTTAGCAAGAAAAACTGGTGTATTTACGTGTCCCAGGCGTAGCCTTTTTTTTGTGACGCAGGCAAAAACTGTTTACAGACGACGGCACCTTTATGAGGCACACCGCCGAACGGACCTCACACCTGGCTCCCGCAAACCTTACGAGCCCCCACAGTGACTGCCCACTAAGTACCCCGTAACTCTTACGGGCGCTTTACGGCATAATATCCGCTAAAAAACCCTGCGAATACCCTCTAAGCTGCTCAGTGCGAAACCGCGGTATCCCCGTTTAGGGATTCTTCCGCTTCTCCGCACCAAGCAGCCTCCCGGGCCAGCCAGGGCTTCACGGCAGGGATCTCACGAGGTATTGCGGGGACGCCGCAGACGTGCGCAGGATGGCCCGCGCGTGGGGGCTAAATACGCGGCCTAGCGCCCAATGTACCGCCCCCCGCACTACTTGGGCGTGCCCGTGTAGCTCCCTCCGCCGCCCTGTTCTTCTTTAGAGGGTCTTTGCAGGACAGAACTACAAGATGGGGGCTGATGATTATAGATGTGATGAATTTATTCATGTCGCGCCGGCGGAAAAACCAGGGTTTGCGTGGAGGCATATCAGGCTGTAAGTTGCCGTAATATATATCCTTAACAGTTCTGGACTGTCGCCAGAGGGTCCCCTACGATTTGCACATCTGGGGTCTTGCCATTGTACGGAGATCACGGGGGTAGCATCTGTAATGTGTCAGGCCTCCATTTTGGGTTGCTTCTTTTGCAAACATATCAGCTGTTTCATTCCCCTGTGGCCCGGAATCCAGGCTAAAATCACCTCAATGCTAGCCGATGCGCACCTCGCAAGCGTGTTTGTGGTTTGTAAGGTAATGTAGAAATTATATCTGGAATGGAATGGTAGTTTTGTATGTCCTGCAAGCAGCTGAGCGAGTCCGTGAACATAACGCATTTATTTATCTTGTGAGATTCGACGTACAGTACTGCTTCAAGGATTGCAATGTTTTCACCGGTGTATACTGAAGCTTGAGAGGGACATCTGAAGTTTAGTAAGAT